ATATTATATTATATATTGTATTGTATATTGTATTATATATTATTTTATATATTATATAATATATTATATTTTATTTTATATTATATATTATATTATATGTTATATTATATATTATTTAATATGAAATTTTTACAAATATATATATTATATTTCTTTGCTATAGTATATGATATTATGTAGTAGTTATATGTATTTTTGAAATATATACAACATATACTACATATACTGTTTATACTGTATATACTGCATATACTATACATAGTATATACAGTACATATTGGGCATGAAGAAGGAGAGGAACCAGAGATATAGAGATTTGTTATGAAAATATAGAGAAAATGAAGGTTTTCCTGGGAAAATAGAGGTTTCCCCATGGAAATGCGCAGATCCCCCCCACACACACACACAGAGCCAAAAAGAAAAAGAGCCAAAAAAGAAAAAAAAAAAAAAAAGGAATCTCCACCCTTCGCAGACCGCTCCTGGTGTTTGCTTACGACAACGGGATCTAGGCCATCGGCTGGCTGGACCCGCGCAAAACGCTTTCATGCGGCCCTTCAGTCAATCATTTCATTGTTGTTTTCGGAACAGCTTATCAATGCCGAATCAATGCAGTCTCTTGCAGTCTCCATGTCCATGGGGCACTCGTAGTAGACACAGTTTGAGGCCCGAGCCGTTGGCACCAAGGAGAAGAAGGCAATGCCGCAGCAATGTATTATAACTGCACACATATACGACTTTCAGCTTGCACCTTGGTTCGAGGCAGCACAACCGCAACCCTGCAGCCATCGCATTGCGGTCTGCTCGAAACTCATCTTTGTTTGGGTCGGATCTTATGAATGCTGATTGCACGACGTGTCTTGGAGGGCTTCTTTGTCAGGGTTTTAGCCGTAGTGCTGACATTGCGCCAAGCGCAACGCAATCATTTTCGTCTGGGAGTTTCACAGCTTGATCCAGGAAGGTTGAAATTCGTGGAACCATTGGCCGGATGCAATGTTGCACCGTTCACATTATTTGAGGTCACCTACTTCTCCCTCGGTGGTGCCACTTCGCTGTCTGATCGATCGTGTGATGCCTCCCGCTCGGCGGCGCCAAACTGTGATCTGTTGGATGTAACACCGCTGCGTTTAAGGCTCTAGCCGAATTGCTCCATGATGCTCAGACCGTGGATATACGAGGACTACGTTCAGCCTGCATCGAGCTTTCAAAGATTGGTGGTGCCAAGTATATGAGAATGCCCTTGGCTGCAGGATGCCCGCAAGTGTCCGAGGACTCCCTGAGATCTTTTCACAAGGGCTGCCGCTTCATAAGGCCGGAGAGCTCACGCAGCGACAAAGCTGAGCTCAGACACTGCCAGGTCTGTCTCGGTCGCCATGCGGGACAGTCGCACTCACCCATTCAGACTATTGACTTTGATCGCATCGACTTAATTCATGTACTGTCTATTGCAGGAGAGGACGCTGACATGGACAGCCTTGACCAGTTCCGTGAAGAAGCATCGCCATCGAAGACGTTCAACGTTTGCTTCCGTGCATTGCTCAGCTGCATTGTCCGTGGTCTTCTCGTCAGAGTGGTGTCAGCGCGCGTGCCCGCTCACTGTCCAAGGGCAGCTCTGGAACAGAAAGCAACTGATGTTGCTGAGAACAAGGTCATCAATTTGGATGTCGATCTGAATGAGCAAGCATGAGCAAGCTTCGTGAGCAACCTGACACGAAGATGTACTGGCGAAGACATGCCCCTTGCGACGACTTTGCCGTTGGGCTGCCTCAGCAACGTTGGGCTGCCCGTCGGAGGTTTAGACCGGGGAGCTGCTGGAAAGACGAGTTCAAGGAAGACGGAAAACGACTCCGGATCCGGTTGAGATCGCAAAATCCAAATCTATGTGCGGGATGTGCAGGCAATTGCCGAGGTTCGCTGCGAAGCAATGGCCGGACTGCTGAGGAGTGCGAAGCAGTGTGAGTCAGTGAGTGGCCCACCTAGTCTCCATTGCAGGCTAAATTCACGTGTTTCGGCGGACACTTGCACGTGCTGGCTTACGGCCCAAACACCTTGCCGTGACCAACGGAGTCAGATGCCTTGCGGCACGTTCGGCTACAGAGCCGTACCTTATGTGCAGCGCAAGCAGCTATTTGGAGAGCCGCAGCCTTTGCGGCTTCTGGGAGCCAGTTGAATCCACAAGCAGATGCATGCACACTGAAAGACATGCTCAAACTGTCTGATGCCCGGAACGGATCTCGCTTTGTACGACGATGTAGTTAACGAATCTATAGCATGCCAAGATGACATCTTGTGCCGCCCCATGTCTCAGATAATCAGCCTTGTGAGCACATGAGGGACATGGGTCTTAATGGTGCACATGTTTTGAGTCTGAACCCCTGGCCCTTGGCCCTTGGCTGATGCCATGGCAGTCGAAAGCTCTTCCGGCATTCGCAACGATGTACTGCTTCCTGACTCGGTGCCTTGCAACACTTTGTCGGCTGGTAGCAACATTCAGCAAGACCACTCGCCATAGTCTGAGCCGAAGCACCACAGTCCGCAGTTTGAATGCCGTGTGGTGTTGGCATTGGTTGAAGGTGCGGGAGTACATCTCAGAGCACAGGCTTGAAAAAGTCGTCACATCAGCTTTGAATTGTGTGACTTGGATGCACAATGATGCATAGGATCAACCTTGACAGAAAAGTTTCCGATGGCCCACCCAAGGAAGTACAAAGTTCTCATGTGTGTATCGAATCGGCCACTATGCCGAAAATAAATTCCGATTCACAAAACAAGGCCTCCCGCTTCCGAAGGAGATCAGCATCCCCTCTGTGCTTTTCGTCCATACATGTGCAACCAGTGGTTTTTTGCACTGATGATACTTGATCCGTTTCTACATCTGTCCGGGAACATCGCAGAAATGCATGCGCCCCTCTGCACATGCTCCCCCCTGTCTGCTAAAGGTAATTCAGCATATGCCAGAAGATCCGTATGCTCGACTCGCAGAGGACTGACATGTCTTGCGCATTTCTGCCAGAACGCTTTTACAGACACGCTTGCTGGTGCTGACAGCAGGAGCTGTCCAAAAGCAGCATCTCTGCTCCACGCTTTGTAGCGCTGAGACCGGACACCTCCGTCCCAAGGCACGACAAAGATGTGAGCTTAACGCGAAAAAGCGGGGGCGGGCGCGCCGGGGAGGAAGTTGCTTCAGTTCTACGTGGTCGTTGCCACTCGCGGGGCCTCGGCCCCGACGAGAACCGAATGGGCACGCTTAGCGGAGTCTCACTGAGGTGAACATTCGGATTCACAAGCTGTCCCTAGGTCACGCCCTGCTCCCTGGATGAAAGGTAGAGGGAGAGATTCTCTCTATTCTGCAAGAGGAAAGGAAAACCAAGACTGCAACACCTGAGGTGTCCGGCTCACAGCGATGCCGGCGTTCAGGCAGCACGTGGGCTCATTGACATTTGTAAAGGGCTGTCCCCTCCGAGATTGAGTTCTTCAGTATGAGTTCTCACCTTGTAGCTTCAACTGTTGACATCTGCAAACAGCTGCCAAAAGCTGCAGGGCAGAGATGAGGAAAAGCTGGTGTTTGCGGTGCAGGACCTCCCAGAACCCCAACCTTTCTCACAAGCACTGTGCTTTGCACTCCCGACCGGAGAGGACTTCTTCGCCAGATCGTTCCAGGATGTCTATGTCGATGACTTCTTGCAGGGTACCCGAACACTGTCTGACTGTTGCCATAAAGCTCTGCTCTCTCCACAAGATGCAGAGACCAGATAAAGGTCTACAGAATCTCCGCCGTTGTGGGCTCATGCTAAACGTTTCTCCTTGGCTATCATCCAAGGTCACTGCATGAAAAATGTATCGGGATGGCAGCGCATTGCTTGGGCCTCCTACCTGCAACTTTTATTGTGTTTTGCATGTTCTGTGTATTTCGGACATGTAGTACCGCAGTACAAAACCGGATGCAGGCACTTCCGAGGAACATCTTGAACTCGCGGCGTCGCTCGCGCTCACGAACCAGCTCTTAGATGCTGGAGTCAACTCCCCGGTCAAGTTTCACACACTACTCGTACGACTAGCTGCTGTGCATCGAGCAGATGTGCGCAAGCTGGTAATACAGGCTGCTGCGATGAACTTGGGAAGCCTGGACTTTCTGCAACATGCGCTTTCAAAGCCATGTTCCTGGTTTGCGTCAGCTAGTGCGCCTGTAGTCGCTGACAGACAGTGTCCGGCACAGGTTGGTGCCTGATTTCGTGTCACCACCTTTGCGGTCGCCGAGTGACCTCTCCAACTGGCTCAAGCCCAAGCCGTGACTGCGAATTTTGCGATTCTATGCCTCCACAAATCTTCAGGCAAGGGAGATGGCCTCACTTTGCGGTTCCCCTATTGCAGGGAGGAGGGCCGAGTGCGGCTTGGCCATGTCAGTATCCAACTCCCGCTCAGTGACAAATGCCAAGCAGGCAACATGAGAGAGAAAGAGCGAGAGAGCCGAGAGTTCCCGAACTACAGGACCACGGGCGCTCTGGGCACGATTTCCGGGAGCAAGGGGACATGCATGGCTTTTGTTATCTGCTACCCCCTACACAAGCTCGTGTTCCTACTTACTGAGTCCTGTTCACTCATCCTTGTGAGGGGGATACTCACTGTTGGCGAGTGCAGGGACATTAATTGGGGAACTTGCAGAAACCACGTATCCCAGAACACACCTAGGATTGGTACGTAGGGTAAATAACTCTTTTGTTCTCGTACTGGTACGTAGGATGGGTACGTGGGACTGGCCCCGGTGTGGCCGACTTCCACCAAATGCCTCACGAACATTGGGGGGCCCAAAGGGCCGGGGGGTTTGACAGACCCCTCCAACCCGAAGGAAGAAGACAGCGAGTGACAGAGTATGAGAAAACAAGAGTGAACGGCATATCATATCTGAAAGCATGACAATTTTCCCTGTCAGCTTGGCGTCAGTCTCTGCACCGATAAGCCCTGCTTGCCCTGCGAGTGACAGAGTTCACGTTTCTTTGTTTGATCAGGTTTTGTCATTCGTAAGGCGTGGCTTGTCGGTGCAGAGGTTGACTGACAAGGAAGTTTGTCATGTTTCAGATATGCTGTTTGCACACTCTGTTTTCTCACACTTTGTCACTCGCTATCTCTCTCTTTCTCCCTTTGTTTAACTTCTTGTCATTCGTCACTTAGAGGTGGAGAGATGGAGAGACAGACAGAGATAGTGACAGAGACGGACACTTCAGACCGTCTTGCGTGCTCCCTTTTGCCCGGCTCTGCTTTGCCTCACTTCTCAAAGACGGGGCAGGGACGTACTGCTGGAGACATTGGAGCCATAGCCGCCCTTTAAGAACGATATTCGGGGGGAGGGGAGTCGAGTTAAGAAACTCCAATCTTGTTTAAATAGCATCTGGCAGTCGGTCTCCGTCTGTGTGTGTGTGTGTACAGGTTCTTAGCGTGAATAAGAAGACAGTACGTTTATGGAAAACCTATATCTTAAATAAAACCCTGAAGCTCCACAAATTGCAAAGAGAGAGGCTCTGCACGTACGTGTGACTGCAGGATTACCCTTCCTTCGGAAGGACGGCTCAGGCTCAAAGCAGTAGCGACTGTTTGCATTGGCATGATGCGCAACTGAAACTCCAGTCCTACAATCCAGACCCGCAGCAAGCTCATGCAAATCCGTACCGTAGTATCAGTCAAGCAGAGTTCCCAGGCTTCCTTTCCTTCTTCAGAAATTGCGATGCCCCCTTCTTAAAGGGGAGACTAGTTGCAACCCTTTCTTCATCCGGCGACTGAAAAGGGCAAAGATGTGAATTTGCACCCCGGCCCCAGTTGAACAACCGCGACACTGGGGCCCTGGACCATGATGGGCATCGAGGGGTTTATGTCTCGTCAACAACGGACGGTTTGAGGGTAGATTTCTGAATTTTGATTCCGGCTTATTCCGCGGCGGCTCTTGCACCCAGGCTTTGACACCCACTTCCTTGCGCTGCTGCGTGGCTTTGTCGCCCATGGCGCTGGATGCGCCCTCAGACCGTGTCCTGTTCCTTTTGCTCGTCCTTGAATCCCGAGTTGATGTGAGCCTTTTGGAGGCCGAGGCGGCCGATGGACACCTCACCTTCGGCTGGCTCGCAAGGCTCTTCGAGGCCGCGCTGTCGATCCCATGAAGCGTAAGGCATAAGCATCAATTGGCTAATGTGCTGTTCATCCCAAGACTTTCGAAGAGGTGCATGGGGTTGCTGTCGTCGGCGTATTGTGCTATAACTGCCTTGGGGATTCGGGCATGGCCTGGGAACTGTCGCATAGGTGCGGTACTTTGAGGATCATGTACACGATCGATCCCGCCTTTGAATTGTGGCCGAGGTGCTGAAAGGTGCCAAAGCCGAAGTTATAAAGTCATTACAGGCAGACAAGGCCGGACGCCAGCGATCTCACACAGTGAGGCAGCTGGTAAGCCTCCAGACATCCAGGTGTTGATGGGTGTGTTGACCCAGGCGACTGCAGCACTCGTGGTTGATGGAAATCCTTATGCCCTGCCTGGCGGCCTTGCAAGCTTCTCGGGTCGTCGCTGCCGTTGTTCCCTCCCAGTGTCAACATGCTTACCTAGGCGCCCACACTGCAACTTGCTCAGAAGGCTTTGGAGTCAGCACCTGCATCGGATTCATCCAAGGCGCGACTGAATGCAGTTGCATGGCTATGGGCAAATAGGCGATTTACGACATGTACCAAAGAAAAGAGAAGCAAGGTGCATGGCTTGCTCATTGTCAATGCAGAGGAGGCGTTCTTGCGAAGATGTTACGCTTTCACAACAGCGTTACAGTTTCGCTGGTTTTGGCTTGATGACAATGCAATGCTTGCAGACAGGCTTGGCGAGAAGAAGAGGGTGTGTACGAAGTCGATGCCTTGCAGCTATGTGGCTGCCCATGAAAAATGTAGCTTGGAGCTATGCATGTAGGTTGAGACGGGGAAGCAGAAGTCGCTTGAAGAGCTCGTCGACTTCTACGCAGAAATTGCAGAGGAGTTCAGCCTTGCGCATGCTGTGCAGCTCGAAGTGGCCCGATCTTCAAGTCGAGATTTGTATTTGTAGGCTTGCCGAGCTTTCGCAGAGCAATGCTTGACTACTCCACACCTTCAACAATTCTTTGAAGAGCTGCTTGCAATGCATATTGAAGCTGCAATCTTAGAGCTTTGGGAAGTGAGGACGGCTGGCTGACGACCTTCGTGAATCCTTTCCGCGAGGTCAGACACAGTAGTCCCAGTTGTCGGTACACTTTTCAGCTTCACGTAGGCTGATGCTCAAGCTGGTGCCGAATTGCTGAGGGCACGCAGGCCGGGCGAGATACCTCAGAGTTAGGCAGAGCGCGTTGCTTGTTCAATGACATTCATCTTCTGGATTGGACGAGGCCAGAGATAAAAGTAGTTCAGGACTATGGCCTGGCTGCCGCCTAAATGGTTTATGGTCAGGCTTCATGTGAACCCGAGATAGTCATAGCATGAGTCAAGGATGTACCGGAGCCTGTGGAAGAGCTGGCCTTTAGCTGCGCTTGGCACCTGGCTCAGGCTCGACTGCCCCCACACCCATCCAGACCCCCTTTTTTGTCACACCGCCCACATCCGCCCACCACGCACCTTTGGAGACGCTGCCTTCGGCCCTGCGGCAATACGCGGAGCAGGCGACGGCATGGCAGGAGGCACCGCTCTTGCCAGATCTTCTGGCCATGTCTGCCCTGATACAGTCGTGATACGCCGGTCTGTAGCTGAGTGCACAGTGGTCATATTGTGTGTAAACGAAATCCTGTGCCCAACAGCCGCACCAAGACTTCTACCGTACTGTGCCGTCGCGCAATGGGCCTTGTTTGACAGGGTCACAATGTTTCTGTGCCCGGGAGTGGAATTAGGACTTCCGTGCATTACGGAAAGAACCGAACTGGTGAGCATCATACTTACTTTCCTGAGTTTTCGACTTGCACTCACACCACCCCAACAGACTTCCAGGTTGCCGATGGCTTCGGGTGCTGTGTTTATCTGGGTGCACAAGCATTAGAATCGATGCCAGCGATTCTCGAGGCCTGCAAGCATAGCTAGATGAAGAGAGTGCTCGCATTGTCCTAAGTGCTGCAGGCACTGCTAGCTTGCGCTGGCGTTCAGGCGCTGACATCAAAGTGCAGCAATTGTGGATAATTGTGGTTAAGAAGAGGGTGTACAACTTCCACGTCGGCTTATAGAAGCACAACAGCCCGATGGCAGGTTATCTACATGCCAGAGGAGATTGCTGATGATCTCGTCAAGCAGGTCTCTCACCGGCAGGACGAGGCATGCTTTTCGTTGTTGGTGGGGGATGTGGGGGCCGGGGGGAGGGGGAGGCGACGGTCATGATATGCTGAGACCGCAGGTGCTGCATCGAATACACGCTGCAGAAAGGAACGTGTAGTTTCACCGTTGATTATGGCACGAATTGGTGACCACGAAATATGGCGTGGTGCCTGTACAAAGGCAAGATTGTGCTGGACCTGCCATTCATGACAACATGTTGTGACTCGGCTCTTGAAGCAGATGAGGCGGTCGGATCACCTGTAAGGACACTGTAAGGATGTAAGCAACATCCGCTCGCATGGTTGTTTCATCGTCCGTATTCCAGGTGAGCCATCGATCAAAATCAAGTCGCGGTACCACATGTCACAGGTGGCCCAGATCTGGTAATCATGTCCAGCATTGCCGCAAGGCAGTACTTGATGCACATGGATTTAAGCAGTCATTTGTAACATTGAATTGGATCAAGCATCAGATGGGAAGCAGGTCTCAGAGGTCGGAACATGCCACGTCCATCCATCCAGACAGCTCTGGCATCTCGCCTGCCAGGCACTCCAAGAATGTCCAAGACAGTTTCCAGGCATCACTCATGATTTAGTAACACTGGGCAACCAATCGGCTTGCTCGCCGGTGCTGCCAAATGGCATGCCACCTGGCCTCGGCATGGCTGTTGCAGAACGGAGCAGGTCTGGGCAAGTGTTCAAGACTATTAGAAGTTTGCGAAAGCTTCTGACTCCACATGAGCCCCCTTTTGACTTGGCGAGGCAGCATCACAGAGCCGAAGAAGCAGGACCGATGTATGTGCGGTGAAAGATCACAGGCTTCATCTCCGGTGCAAAGTGCCATGCAAGTTCTCAGTCCTGCAGAGTGCCAGGAATTGCGGGGCATTCTGCTTGAAGACTTTGACCGGCTACTAGGTGGGTCTCGGTGATGAGCGAGAAAACACCGCAAGCTCCTGTCACTATCTCAGTATCATTGCTTCCCAGGGTTGCCCGGTCCACGGCCAGCGGCGGTCGAGGATCGCGAGACGGGTAGACGGGTAGACCGGTCCAGCAGTGCCTGATGCGAAGGAAGAGATTCAGCTCTTCTTGGCAAGCGGCCGTGCTTCAGAATCCAATTTCGGCCGCCTTCAACGGAGGGTGGGGCCTTCACGTTCTGCACGTTGTGTTGCATGTGTTGGATGTCCTGCTTGATCACAGGAGCTTGCCTGCTTGTGTTGCCGAATGCATCAGTGGATGCGTCTCCTTTATTTGTGCTCGTTCACTTTGTTCATATTCCATGCAAGAGCTTGCCCTTGTGATTGATGCCTGTAATTCTGCTTGCATGCGTCAGGTAGAGACGCGGCTCGCGGGAAGTAGCAGGTTGGCCTGAAGCGCGTCACTCACATGTATCCCATGTCATTGGTCAAAGGATCGGCTTAGTTTTCACATTCACTTGTCGACTGCTCCTTCCCAAGGTTCCTTGTCAAGCATGCTGTACAGGCTTTGGTGTCAAATCTGTTTCGTTCCTCGCAAGTGTGACCCCAGTAAAATTCAAAACTGAATTTTGCGAAACTCTCCTGGCTGGGCCTGCAGCAGCACGGCTCGCAAGATCTGGATCTAGACGCTGCAGGAGCTGCCATAGCCACCTAGAGCTCTCAAACCTCAAGTCGTTGAAGACAATGCAAAGCTTGAAATGCCTCCGAGCTCTTAATCACCACGAGACAGATCGAGCTAGAGCGCAGAAAATCACACTTAATTGAATTTCTCAACACTTCCCAGGACCCTGCAGTCCAGACCTTCGAGAAAACTCTAGGACAGGAATCTTCACGAAAGACGGGGTCAATCGGTGCCCAAGCGTCGCTCACGACTGTAGCAGCTAGCACCTTGAACTACTTGAAGGCCTGCAGGTGCAGGGCAGGAGATGGCAGAAGGGGCAGGGGCGGCGCTGTCTCGTTTCATCATGCTGAGCTTGATGTCCACATCAACGGAAATGCTCACAGCTCTTTGATGCTTGTGAAAAGTTCATTATCCTTGAATGAGACATGCACTTGTGGCAAGGGTTGATCGAGAAGCCCAAGGTCCGTATGTTCTACAGAAGATGTCAGCCGACCCAGCGGAAGCAAGTCTGATGCTCTCTGGCATGAACGAGCATAAGAATAGCAAACAAACCAGGCAAGAGCTTTTCGACACATCAAGCCAGCCTGCGCCATCGGTATCAAGTCGTGCGGCAGCTTGCTTGCCGAACTCGCCCAAGAACGCGCCCTACCATGAACACTTCCACATGCTAGTTAGTAGCCAGGCGCACCACCATTGCGGCATGGCACAAAAGCTTCCAAAAATGCTCGGGCTGAAGCAGATCTGCGGGAAACTTTGGAGTGCGACAGTGTTACACCAAGGAGCACACGATCAGCTGTGTCGTTGTGACGATGGGCCCCCCAGAAGAAGGTGATAAGCTGAAAAGCTTCTGCTTTCAAGCTTCATCCATTCAACAGCAACCATCGATGGCCTCTTGCTCGATGGGCTTCGATGGTACCAAAGCTTGCATGGTATGCCTTCACGAAGTTATCATAGATGCATTCTTGCATTTCGTCCCTGGCGTGCCACGCCATCAGGTAGCCGACAAAGCGATTGCAGCTTCTGTTTGGGCACTGCAGGGACAATCAGGGAAAGCGGCGTGGCTTGACCAGGTCTGAGAGCAATTACAGCCACATCACAGAGACTTCACTGCGCCCGCCGGAGCCCTTGCAATACACCTTGTGATTCTTTGCGCAAGGACTCAGGGGACATGATCTCATTGTCTGATTGGAAACGAGGTCTGGTTGTGTGAGTGCACGAGAATCGTCGAGCCGTGCGTTTCGCGAGGCAGCACCTGCACTGCCTGCACTAGCGACACGTTGCTGTGGCTCGTTCTCACCCTTGATTGCAGGTGAAGCGGGAAGCTGCAGGCAGCCAAGCCGGGTTTCGCTGTTCATGGGGGAAGGCTTGAGTAGAGGTAAGCCTTGAGTACCTTCGACCTGCGCCGCATATCGCAAAGTTGTGGAAAGTGCCCGCTTGGGCAACCGGGCCAGGATGCAGGACGGATTTGGCGGGACTGCAGGCGGTGGGAGGTATTAGTATGATTTTCGAGAAGCAGGCGCCCCCGCTCAAGGCCAGAGCTCGGCCACAGGCAGAGAAAGGCTTCTGAGGAAGGACAGAATTAACTTGAAGCAGCGAGTTTATGTTGGACCAACTTCCTCCAGACATTTTCCGTCATTTTCCACCGCCGCTCGCGCGTTGGTCGGATTCCCGATCTAGAACTATGCACGATGAACTTCCTTGGCCTCGCTCGACGTGCCGTGCTGGTCCCATAGACTGGTGGCGCATGTGGGCAGGCTATGGCAGGCTGGCTCATCGAGATTTAACCATCCTTTCGAAGATTACCAAATATGGAGACGATTACCAAACATGGATAACGGTGGTCTGGCGCGGTACTGAAATCAAATCCGCCTGACTGCTGGGTGGTTCGTGCTGTTTTGCAGGTGCGGTCTGTGTGTTGCCATTGCCAAAACAAGCACAATCAAATGTCGCGTGCTCTGTCACTTGTCTGACCGGACCGTGGCTTTTCTCCTCGCCCAGCCGCATTCAGCCGCTGTAAAACTGCATCTTTTGTTACGTCATCTTTTTGGAACCCCTCGTCATCCGAGAAGGTTGTCTTGGATGCGAAGGGGCGCAATGCACCCTGGCTGCGGCTTCACCGGCAGATCGAAGCACTCAGCCTCCCAGCAAGAAGTCAGCCGCCTCAAGACACGGTGGCGTCGGCTATCCCCTTGGCCGTTTGCGATGACTTCAACGCGGCCCTCGTTGCAGACCGAGGGATTGACATGCGGATACACGTTGTCACACGCCACACTTGCCGAGCTTCGCGACCCTACAACGCGCCCGCCTGAACTCTGCGGTCCGCTGTTACTCGAAATATAGCCAAACCGTGTGCATTCCTTCGGGAAGCCTTCTGTGTTGCGGACGGAGCGACGTGGTGCGGCCGCAGGCCCTTCGTATGACAACAACGAGGATGAGGAAGACAGCCGACTCCACCCGTCGCTTTGCAGAAACCGGAATGGCCGCGGCATCGTGCATTTGTTGTTGGTGACGCTCTGCGCCTCTTGGTGTGAAACCCTTGCCATCCCTTGCACGAGATTTCGCACCACAGTCTCGTCTCCGTGCCGGCCTGTGCCGGCAGTGCCACGTGTCTTCCGCGCCGAGCCACAATCCTTGTCGTCGATGCCGGCGGATCCTGTGACATCCTGTGACCATGCATGCGCCCGGCCGGGAGTCAAAGTTCAATCATCGCCGGCGACGCAGCGCGCGATTCCTGTTTCAGCAGCCGATGCAAACGCTCGGAGAAGGCACCAACAGCATTCAGCAGCGTGCCGCCATGCCAGTGCCACGCCCACGCAACCTCCGCTTCCCCCCCTGTGTGCTCCTTGCGCTTCAATCCACCTTCATGCCGGCGCATCCCGCCACTACTTGCGCAAAGCACTGCCTGGATGGCTAGCGCTGCTGCCGCGTGACCGGCCTCCCCGATTGTATGGAAACCAGTAGAAGGCTTTCGCCGTGCTGCCTGCCGGTCCCAACAAAAATGAGACATGGGAGACCCAACTCGTTGTTGTTGGTTCATGTTCACACCTGCTAAGCGATTTTTTATCTATCTGTCTGATCAATTTGTGGGAACAAGGCCAGGGGGTAGAGGTCAGGAGAGCAGAGACCTAAACCATCGAGCTAGCCAGACTAGGGGCGGCATAAACAAATGCGTGCGCAAGCGCGCGTAAGTAACAGTCGCATGCTCGTAAGGCTTGCACACCGGCTGCTTTAAAAGACGATGCACGCAAGGGTGTCTTGAGACTGTCAAAAACGACGACGACGACTACTGCTGCTGCTGCTACTGCTCCTGCTAATAGATCCGAAGCAGCCAAAACCAGTTTTTACGCAGGGTTCAGCCCGGAAGGCGGAAGGCACACGCAAGGGGCACTCTCCAACTTCGACCACTCCCCATCCCTTACAGTCCTTAGCAACATCGGCTCCAAGAGAATCCCAGCAAGCTATGTTCTAAACCCCCGGCTCTTGACCGTAGACTGACAGCGCACTTTAATTATTTTGATTCAGGTTTGGGACCTGCTCCAAACACGGCACAGCGCAAGCACGTGCAAGGGCGAGCTTAAGGGAATAAGCAGTGTATAAGCTACCTAGGTTAAGATGGTCTACTTTGTGCAGAAACCGTTGCCGTACAAGCTTGCGGTTATGAGTTCACTAACACTCGCGCAGCTGCTTCAGTCAAGTACGGGGACCTGACGAGTAGCATAGTCATGGCATGGGTCGAGCCGTCAACGCCGCTGCCCCGCATTTGCCAAGTGGGCACGTGTCGTTCTGATTCGGCATGGAGCAGTGCAGAAGAGCATCTCCCAAGCCTGCTTGGGAACCTCGAAAAAATACGTAGACATACCGGACATCACGCGCAAGCTCCGCGCAAGAGGTGGGCCCCCCACATGTGAGCCATGGCCCAGACCGACCTCCAAACTGCTTTTGTTCTTGTCTCTGTACACTTCCACGACATCTTACCCCCAACCCTTGAAAGCGTATTCCAGCGATCCTGGGCCTCTTGTTGGAAAGCCTTTGGGTTGCGGAACGCTCGTCTCGTCACTATGCTTCCGACTCATGGACGGAGCAGCGTGTGCAAGTGCAAGTACTACCAATACTAATACCCCTAGTACTACTAGCACTACCACGACCACAAATACTACTTTTCTTTCTTTAGAAACAGGGCTGGCGACCACAACGACGACGACAACGACTACTAGCACAGAGAACACCACTACCACCACCACCACCACGATTACCACCATCGCAACTACTACTATTTTTATTGTAACCACGGCGACTACCAGCACTACTACTACTATTCCAAACCAGGCGGCGCCGTGTAGATGTCTAAGGAACCGGAATCGCCGAATGAGGGGACCTGGTGTAGATATGCGGTGAACCGGAATCGCCAACGGAGGGGGCGTGCTGAAGGTATGTGATAAGAGTCCTGTCCTTGAACGACCACGAGTCGTGGTCAGAAAGTGAAACACTACAAGATTCATGGGAAAGTTTGTACAACTGCACAAATATCACCATCAACCTACAACTGTCCGACGCAGAGCGTCTGTAGCGCATATGTTGTTCGCAATGTCGCGGGCACGGTTGGTGATTGCGGAGGTGCGAAATAACGTTGACAAGTTGAGCAATTGCCCTGGTCGGGCTCGAGAACGCCACCGTTCTCGCACAGCACGGCGCGCAGTGCAATGAAGGAGAGCATGCGCAAGAGTGTCTGTATGAAACCGGTGGTCGCCAAATGAGTTGGCGTGTTTGCGAGATATGATGAATCCATCATGCGAACATTGTGTCTGCAAATAGAGGGCGCTGCACCCCCGCCTCTGCCGCTTCAAGCTTGCTTCAAAGCCTGCGACTGTTCTTGAATCTTAGCCCGAATTGCGCCACCCCACCCCCTGCACACGCTACCTAGTAGAACTCATAGGAGGAGGAGTCGTAGGAGTGTCGTAGGAAACATTTCTGGGTAGTCACATGCACAGCACATGCAGTAGAAGAGCCGCACAAGTAAATTATCATGCGAACGCACTGTTTGGACAGGCCAGGACGTCGTGTAAGGACTCGTCCTCGGCGTGGGGCAAGGTATGGTAGGGTGAAGTGGCAAGGTGAGGTGGAAGGGCACCACAAGTAGTAGTGGGCGTGGGTGGTTCGAATAGGCTACGGATTTTTTGTAGCGCGGGGAGGGGGGGGGGACTAGTACTATCTGCTACTGCTACTACTGCTACAACCACCACCACGATGACGACGACGACGACGACCACTACTACTAGCATTGCGTGACAACCACCAAGGCCACAGCTACAACTTTTTGCTGTTCTAAAAGCACAGCAAAAATTATTTATATAGTTCGCGGGGGCAGAGGGGGTGGAAAAAAAACCTGTCCTAACGACTACCTTGTCCGGTGCCTCCCAAGCAGCGGTCAAAACCTTTTTTCAATCCTTTGACGCTAACAAACCTCTTTGCATTTATATGGTGCTTGCAGCTTCCGCGGAGCCAACTGTCCCTTGCGCGCGGCCTCGAATCTGCCTCCACCTTCAAGCCCTTGCGCGCGCCATTGCGCGTTTCAGGCCTTTGTGCAGGACTTGGGCGTTGTTCTTTATTAAGGTTGCAGCCTGCAGCTCGAAAATCCCCTTGCGCTTCGCCCTTGCTCGCCAATCACGCACACAGCCTGAAACGCTTTCCTAGCTTGAAGCCTCTACAAGCCAAGTGACAATAAGAAGTTTGACCCAACATGCGCAACAATCACTCATAATGTCGGACTTACTACGAAACATTGCTTGTAGCAGAACCTCGTCCCGCAAACTGAACGACGATTACAACTCAAAAAAACCTTTCCAATCCATTTCAAAAAAAAGGGGTTGACACTACTATGACGTCCATGTTGTGCAGCAGGCTGCATTGTCTCTGCACTATTATCAAGAGCTGGTAACAGCATTTGGTGTGGTACTGCCTGTTCTCTGCATCCTCCGCATTGGAATTTTCAGAGTCAGTGTTAACCACCTCCTCCGGCAATTCCGGCATAGCATCTTGCCTCGAAATTGTTGCTGTGGAAGCAACAGATGCTGCATCTACCTGGCCTGTGTTCCAACGAGTACACAGCTCGGTGTTCTCATCTCCAGGCAGCGTTCCGAGCTAGAGCCGGGCCCAGTGCCGTGCTGAGCGACGTTGCATGTCAAGAAGCAGCTGCTTCCGATTGCTGCAGCGACGGCTGTGACTGTCGGCGTCTGCGGTTGCAGTGAGGTTTGCAGCGCGAACAGCATGAGTCATAACCAGGTCTGGCCAACGGTTCACAGCGCAGGGTCCGACATCTACCGGCATCATCGCAACTCATATCCTCCCATGCTCGCCACAGTCTGCGTTAGCCCTTCTGGCAGCACTTT